TGGTGCTCTTCCTGATGCATTGTGGTCGTCGCAGACTTTGCAGGTTCTTGATGTTTCTGCTAATAATTTTACAGCTGATTTGACGAATTCTAGTCTCACGGGTCATGCCAGTGGTGCTGTGTTTAATCTTTCCAACAATAAGTTATATGGAACTCCGGATTGTTTATCTGAGAACTGTACTTCCATCGATTTGTCGGGTAATTATTTCCAAGGAAAGGTTACTACTAGCAGTCCAAGAAATGGTAGCCTTGACATGAACTGCCTTCAGAGAGTGCCTAATCAGAGGAGCTTGGAAGATTGTAGATTGTTTTATGCTGAGAGAGACTTAACTTTCGATTATTTTGGAAATCCGGAGCCAAGTTCTGTCCCAAAGAAACGCAAGCGATGGATATACATTTTGGTGGGATTGCTTGGTGGAGTTGGTTTCATTACGATTTTGGTACTGGTGATCGTGGTGGTCCTTAGGAAGTTTAGTAATACCATTACAAATGAAAGAGGAAGTGCAGATGTGGGGCGTGTTCCAGATGGAGATAGCCCACAACTTCCTAAGGATCCTACTAGCGTATCTAGTCTGAGAGACTCATTCACGTATGAACAGTTACTCGGTCTGACCAGTGAATTTAGCGAAAGAAATCTCATCAAACATGGTCACTCTGGAGATCTCTACCAGGGTTTTTTAGAAGGAGGAATTCCTATCGTTGTCAAAAGGATCAATTTGCATAGCTTGAAACAGGATTCCTGCATGATGGAATTAGAATTTTTCAGCAAGCATTCACATGCACGTTTAGTCCCTCTTTTGGGACATTGTTTGGAGAACGAAAATCACAAGCTTTTGGTGTACAAATACATGCCAAATAGGGACTTGGCTGAGTCTTTGTACAGGGTATCCAATTTTGAAGACGATGGTTTGCAGTCCCTGGATTGGATTACAAGACTGAAAATTGCTACAGGAGCTGCTGAAGGTCTCTCTTACCTGCACCACGAGTGCAACCCTCCCCTTGTCCATGGGTACTTATACTTGCTTTTGAATAGCCTCACTCTCCTCCATATTTTCTGGGATAGTTTTTCTGATTAGGGTGATCTTATTCATGTTGTTTATTTAAACATGAAATAGAATTATAATGCCCTATGTGAATGGAGAAGCTCACGCTTTGCACATTCAGTATTCAGTATGGAATCATTTGTGCTTGATATCTTGTCAGCACAAGACCTGATCTAGGATGGTATTCTCAATCACCTATTTATTGCTAATTAGTATTGCTGTTTCTGCTGTTTAAATTCACATGAGACTGGAATGAATGTTGCAATGCTCAAGTGTAAAGAAGCTGAATTGCAACCTGTCTTTTGCCCTTGGGTACTAGCCCAAGAGATCAAGGCACAGGGTGTGGCTAAGCAGGATGTAGATTCAAATTTTGATGAGAACGTTTGACTTAGGATGATGTTCTGTAGATTATAGCAGCACTTCCCAAGTGCTTTGAGACTGTCTCCTTTATCATCTTCTTTATTTAAACTATGAACTAGTAATGTAGCATGCATGACATTTCTATCTTTGTGATGAAGAATTTCCAGTCATTTCTAAATTCTCAAATGCAATTACCTTTTGGTGTTTGAAGAGATGTTCAAGCAAGCAGTATCCTTCTTGATGATAAGTTTGAGGTTCGACTCGGAAGTTTGAGTAGGGTTCGTGTCCAGGAAGGGGATTTGCATCAAAGTGTTCTCACAAGGTTCTTGCGGAAGTCCCAGTAAGTGTTGTAGCTATTAATTTCTTTGGGCATTTTGAAGTGAATTCACCTATTTGATTTGCTGAATGATTTGACCCAGCCATAATCTGGTGTCATTAGCTATGTTATGTAATACTCCAGATTAGCATGGCTAGCAACAACACATCATCGCTGGTTTTGCCATTAGGGTAGTTGGTCCACTCCCTGTGTGTTTGTCATCATCATTGTCTTTGAGCATAAATAATTACCTCTTGGTTCATTTTTATTATCCTTTGTTGAAGATCTAATAGCAATTCCTCATGCCCATGTGCAGATCCTCTGTCTCTGATCCAGGGACTTCCGGTATGTTGAACTCTCTCACAAGTGCTCTTCATCTTTTAAACTACGTGTAATTCACAAAGAATTCGTTCATATCTAGCATATTGCCAATTGTGGCTTTCCTTTTCTCCAATAACTTTGAGTGTTACTACGAGTGTCAGTTTGGAAAACAAAATTAAGCAAATCCTGATATTTATCTTTGATAATGGGCAGGCTCATCTCCGGCAACTTGTGCTCATGATGTGTATTGTTTTGGCAAGGTCTTGCTTGAGCTCGTTACAGGCAAGCTTGGCATAAGCAAATCAGATGATGCCACCACAAGGGAGTGGTTAGAACACACGCTGGCACAGATCAGTGTATATGACAGGGAGCTGGTGGCAAAGATTGTTGACCCATCTATGATCGTTGATGAAGATTTATTGGAAGAGGTATGGGCAATGGCCATCGTAGCTAGGTCATGCCTTAATTCCAAACCTTCTAAACGCCCTCCAATGAAATATGTCCTCAAAGCATTGGAAAACCCTCTGAAAGTGGTAAGAGATGACATTTATAGCTCGGGAAGGCTGAGAACAACTTCATCCAGGAGATCTTGGAGTGCTGCTTTTTTTGGTAGCTGGAGACATAGCCCAGATAATGCCTCAGCTCTGGGCCAAGCTAATACCAGTGGCTTAAAGCAGCCAGGGAGAGCAGGATCTCGAGGCAGCAGTGGGATTGAGCATTCATCTTCTAATAAGAGGTTATCCAGCGAAATCTTTCCTGAACCACTTGAAATGCAAGATATGGGGAGGCTAGATGAGCATTAGATGACCTGTTGTGGAGTTTGCAATTGTTCATAAGTTGTGTGGGTTCCACATCTGAGTGCTCATCCATCTTTGATGGGATTTCATCAAAAATCAATGCAAGCAAATGGTGATTGTAATCCGATGTGCTGTGAATGATGAAAGATTCCCGCAATGAGGCTTACACTGTCGAGACAGAATGAAAATGGTTGATAGTAAAGGAATGTTAGGAATACTTTTGGGGTTTGTAAGCTTGTCAGTTTCTGTTTGGAGTGCAGATAAACTGGATGACTTTTGTGGAACTATGATTATTCTGTGTCTTGATGGCATATTGTTGTTGAGTATTGCTTAGGATATTTTTTCCAGGCGTGTTGTAATGGATATGTAGATGGAGGTAGTCCTTGTAAATTTCAGTTGATTTTTATGATAGTGATAAACTCAAGATCAATTAAAGATGTTTTTGTGTTGTTCTATGATTTGTGATCATTGTGTTTTGAATATATTTTTTTTGGGATGTTTGAGCAGTTCATCAGAAATAGAACTTGTATGGTGATATCGTCATGGTGCGGGCATTAATTGTTGAAAGATTCCCGCAATAAGGCTAACACTGTCGAGACAGGATTAAAATGGCTGATAGTGAAGGAATGTTAGGAATACTTTTATGGTTTGTAAGCTTGTCAGTTTCGGACACCAGCTGCTAGGTGTCTCTGTAATTGATTGTCTCTGCTAGGTTTCGGACACCAGTTTCAGACACCAGGATTAAAATGGCTGAGTGTGGAATACTTGTTTTGAAAAAAATCCATGTTATTTCTATAAACATGTTTTTATAAAAATTCAAAATTATTATTTTATTATTATTATTATTTTGTTTGGTGAGAATGTAAAGTGAACTTCTGTTTTGTATTTTATTGGTTAGTAGGGTTTAAATTTTAATTTAAGGGTTTCGAAAAATTATATAATACTTGCCAATCATGTGTTTGTGTCCTCGTTTAGGGTGATGAAACCAGCAAGGATTATAAAAAGATTGTATTTATTAACATGAAAATTGGTAGGGATTTTCCCCTTTTCTATCATTTTTAGATTGCCTATGACTTCTAGGGTTTTTATCAATTCAGCCCCTTCCTGGCTTTTTCTTTAATCCTAATTAATGTATTCGTATTTTCTATCTTGTGATATTAACCGATCATGTGTTTGTGTCCTCGTTTAGGGTGATGAGAAACCAACAAGATTATCAAAAATGTTGTTGCATAAGAAATGTACTAAAAAACCTAAAATGAAGAACATATAATTAATCAATGCCAAAAAATATAGATATATGTTAAAACCCAATTTTGAGTTATTTTTTTTAAAAAAAATTAAATAAAAAAATAAAATGAAGACTTGTAATATGAAGAAAGAAGGCTATGAAATACAAATAAAAAAAAAAAAACAATACAAATTCAAGATCAAATTAAATGATTATTGGATGAATTTACATAAAAATTAAGTCCAAGGATATAATTAAATTTTTAATAGGTCAATTTGATTTAATCATGAGCCAAATTGAATTTTAATTATGTTTAAGAATTATTTTGAATCCAATTGAAGGATTTAATTAAGTATAAGGACATAATTATACTTTAAATTGATCAAATTAATTTTATTAAGGGTTTAATTAGTGAAAAATTAAGTTTGGGAGTCTAATTAGGGCTTAATTGAGAATATTAAAGTTTTAAGAGACTAAATTTTATTTTTATCAAATTAATTGATTGAAATGAGGGGCAAATTGGCAAGAAAATTAAAGTTTTTAGATCAATTAGAGATGAAATCGAATATTGCTGCAGCTAATGACTATTTTGTAAAAGGTGTTGAACTATAAGGGTTTAATTGGTTGAAACCGGGAGTGAAATTAAAGAAATTAAAAGTTTAATAGTCAATTAGGGTTTAAATTGCATAAATCCAAAATCAAAGACCAAAGTGCAAAAGGCTTATAAATCCAGGGTTCAAATTGAAACTTGACAGGGGCTAAATTACAATAAATCAAAAGTTTAGTTCAATTAGGGATGCAATTGAATAAAATTGAATGATAAGGAACTAAATTGAAGTTAAACAAAAATCTCTAATTTAACCCTAAATAGCACCATTTTGAATTAAAAAAATAGAACACACGTCGCATCATTTGGTCGTTATTTATTATCTTCCTTGATTTTTGCTAAAGAATGTTGCCCAAATGACTACATTTTAGGTGCATTTAATACCTCGTATATCCACCAAAATTAACAAAATATAAACTAAAATGGTCACCTGATATCATTTTATCCTCTAGTAACATCACAACAACCGTGACACTGGCTTAAAAAGGCTAACTCATGTAACCTTGAATTGTCAGATTTGATAGTTCGTGGTGCCTACTTTAAACCAATTGTTGAGATTATTCCCAACCGAATCAATGACTGGAATTTTTCCCTTGTATAAAAAAGATTATTCTCTTTCACATTCTATAAATAAGGGTGAATTTTATGGCCCCAATATAAAGAAAATAAAGTCAAAATTTAGCCAAAAATTAGCCTTCTTTGTTTTTCCAGCCGATGATTCTCTCTTTTTTCTCTCTCTCCCTGTTGCTTCTTTGCCACCACAACCTTCTCCATCCCATGAAAAACAGTAGTTCATCCTCCCTACAAATTCATCTCCTTATCGGCAATAAAGGCAGTCATTGCGAATTCCTTCCTCTTTCCTTTGCAGATTTTCTTCTTTTTTTTTCTTCCTCTACCACAAGTAACCAGCACCACTATCATTTCTTCCACCAACATTTCCACCCACCTCACGTCAGGCCAATGACAGTAGTTTCTTCTCCTCCACAAGGTTGCCTCATACTTCACTCTATCATCTGTAATTGCAAAGTTGCATGCAGAACGTGAACTTATTATTCACATTTTGCAAATAATTCACTTCCCACTTGGGCTGGGCTGGAACTGGTCCAACCCTTAAAAAAAATATGTTAGGCCGAGATCGGCCCACCCTTTTCTGGGGCCGAGCTCGACCTAGTTAGTTAGGCCGACCCAACCTACATGTTTTAATAATATTTAATTAATATATATAATATTATATTTTAAAAACAAAAAATTTAAAAATTCTTTCAAAATAAATTATAATTTTCTCTTATATTTTTCCATCAATTTTGCATAATATCAAGTTTTTATACTTACACTGTAAGATGCAAATCTGTTATTAAAATATCTTGTTTTCTTCAAAACTTTTTTAAAAATTTTCAAAAAAATCTCAAAACTTTTAAATTAATTTCTCTTTTCAAAAAAAAAATATATTTTGTTTTTATGTATACAACCAAATCCTAAAATTTTCTAAGCATATTTTCACAAAAATTACATCTTTCTCATGTTTTGAAAATCGAAGAAAAAATAGATATCATAATCAGTTTATAATCATCCATTATTATTTGGCTAAAATGTCAAAAAAATAAATTTCTCAATGTTTTTTTTTAATAGCTCTAGAAGTAAACTTTAATATTTATAAGGTGTAAAATTATACTATAAAATACATCCTCAGATATTAAAGATACAAAGTGTAAAATACGATACTAAAATTCAGATTTTAAAACGGTTAGGATTTAATCCAGTAAAATAGAGAATTTCTCGTAAAAAAAGATCTCCTATGAATTTTAGAAAAGACTAACAAATAAAAACCTGACATAGAAAAACAATTAAATAACAATGCAACTTATATTAGATAAAGTATATTGGGATAATATATATTTTCCTTTCAAAACTAGTCATTTACCCAAACTCTCTAAATTATAGATTTTCAATAACCATAATACTAGATATCAACTCTTAAATATTAAGTATAATTTTATAATTAAATTTAAAAAAAATTTCAACAACATACCTTATTAGAAAGCACGATAAAAGCCTCGTTATTACCGACAACGTCGTGGCACACCCGGCGACAGTAGAGGTTACTTATCTTCCACCCTGCAATGCTAGGTCTTTTAAAAGCCAAATTAGAAATGGTCCTTCCCCTCAACATTCTATTCTTCACTTCGGTGAGCAGTTCTTCTGATTGCCAAGGAAAGTCTGAAGGCCCAAAACATCAGTCACCACCAAAATCGTAAAAAGGCAGGCAAATCTCTCAACCTGTATGTGTAGAAGACATTTAAGAACAAATCGGAAAAGAAAACAAGGAGATACTCAAGGTCAAAGAAAATTTGAGCCCAGCATTTCTAAAAAGAAAGCAGCTTAAAGCAGTTCTGGGTACTATGATATTGAAGGACTTAGATCTTACTTGATGTGCAAAGCGAGAGTTTTGGTAGCCAGTCCTCATGAGTTGTCCCCAGACGTTGTGAAACTGTAAATTAACCAATGAAGTAAAAAATCAAATATAAACTTACAAGTAGACTGGTTGCAGAGAGTTAGAAACACATGGCATAAGGGAACAAAAGAGTTCCTTCACCTTTTGATGACGTTCTCGTTGAGGCTGTTGGTGTGATTTTTACTCCATCCCTTTGGTTTAGATTGATAATAATTGTTTGTATTAGCACAAATTAAATCTGTCATCAAAGATTAAGAAATTTCAAGAATTACCTTGTTTGAGTTCCTCTGTTCCCAAAGCAGTTTGACCTCTCTCTCTCAAGCTCTGGAACAATAAGCATTGTTCTCCAACCTGCTCAGAGAGGCATAAAGGGTAGGAAAATCACAAAAACCGACATAGAAATACACACCACAACCCATAGCCATGGCTAAATCTAACCTCTAATTAAGAGACAGCAATTGACAGGCATTGGGGTGCAAGTAGGAATTCATGACTTTCAAGAGAGGAATTGGAGATAGCATGTGCCGCCAACTTCTATTTTCATTCGTTCCCTATTCAAAGACTGCTTCGAGGGCTGTCGTGTTCAGTATGACAATTCACAACCAGTCCATATTAACTTCGAAGGCTACCGAAGATAACAAAGAACTCAATACCAAGAACTTTTTGGCTGCGTGAAATATCTCCATAGATATGATCCCCAACATCCAGAGCCTACGGAATTAAGCGAATGTTAGATCCAAACATAGAAACATATCAGTCTGTACAAAGAATTAAGAAACCAGTCATATCGATAATTCTGCAAGACACCCAGCAGTACACTGACTGATATGAAAAGAAACCTAGGCTATTATGTAACATTCATTCTGAATATGACAAGATACGTTTCAATATTTATAGAGAAAGGGAAAATAACAGAAAGGGGGATGGGAGGATTTAGTACCTGTTTGTTACCAAGAACGTTGCACGTTTAGAATCTCTGAGCATTTTGAGCATTGGAACTATGGACTTATCCTCACTTATGTTCCTGGTAGATGAAACACAGAGACAATAAGACAAACACTATAGACCAAAACCCGTGAGATTCACAACAGGGAAACATGTTCTCCCAGAAGATGGGTCTATTTTAGGCCTGAAAAGCTTTTTGAATCCTAACCAAAATTGTATCAACAACTAAAAGTTGGCAAATGTCTACGTTGAATACTCAAAAGACATTTGGGGTTTCCTATCATAGAGAAACCTGGTATGACAAAAGACAAACAAAAATATATGCCGAGTTCTTACTCTACTACTCTTTCTCGGCATTTGTCCATAAATTCAACAAGCTGGGCAAACATATAGGCTTCAGCTAATGAGAAATGAGTATCAGCAAGCACATAATCTGGCCAATCGAAAGCATTCCTTATCAGAGTATTCCCATAGGTGTTAACTTTCTCTTCCTTGCTCAACTCTGTAAATCCATGGTATGCCACTTTAACGTATTTATGACGATCCATCTGTAAATTGCAAGAATTACCAGTTGAAATATTTTCCACACACAAATGTTCTTCAAATAATAAAACAGGAAATGTGAGATTAATGATGAAAAACCTTCAAGATGTTGCCTTTCTTTTTATCTAGAACCAATCCTCTGACCATGTTTTAAATTTCCATTCAAATTTCCATTCCAACAGCTGCATAAAAACACCACTCTTAGCCAACATACAGTCAATTAAATGCAGCAAAGAAGCACAGGTTTTAAGAACTACAAACCTATCAGATTGCCCACAAACTTTTTGATTGTTCCTTCGTACGCAAGTTTTTCAAAGGTTTCAGGCTTGTATTGTGCCGATGTGTAATCCATATCAAGGCCGACAGCTTTGACACTTCTCATATTCAATACCCTATTGCAGAAGATCCGTTTTCCAGGTTCAACTTCACCTTTTCCCCCTTCAGGAGACGACCATATGCACGGTTCTTAAACTCCATCCCCTCTCTCCATCATCTCAGAACTCGATCTCTTGACCCCTAAAACACCCTGATGACCCTTGTCCACCAACTGATTAACTCCCGATACATTCAAAAGAATCAACTCCTAACTTCATAGAAATTGCTTTGGAAATTCCACAGTGCGCTACACAAATGAAATCCACAGTGCCTCAACAAATTCAAGAAAACAAGATTTCATGGTACAACACATTAATTAAAATCAAGAAAAACAAGATTCATGGGACAACGCATTCATTGAAAAAAAAAAAAAAACAAGATTTATGGTACATAACGATACATTAAAGTCAAGAAAAACAATTTTCATGGTGCATAAGGATACATTAAAGTCAAGAAAAGCAAGACTTATGGTGCAAAAGGATACATTATACATTAAAGTCAAGAAAATCAAGACTTATGGTACATAAGGATACATTAAAGTCAAGAAAAGCAAGATTTATTGTACATAAGGATTCATTCGCATTAACCCATGTTAAATGGACACATGCATAACACGCGTGATTAAAAAGTAATTAAGAAGTAAAGAAAACATGTGATGTTTTGAAAATGAAAAAGAATTGGAAATGGCAGCAAAGTCTTTGAAGGTTTAAAAATTAGATATAAATGAATAAGGAATATTATAGTAATTGAAAAAAATTTGATAACTATAAATAGTAAAAGTGAATAAAAAAATTAAAAAACCGATTAAATTGAGAAAACTAGAAAAAAAATAATTAAAAAAACTAAACCATTAAAAAAATCAATTAAATCGCTTAGAATTTAAAAAAAATTGATCAGTTCAATTTGATTTTGATTTTATAAACTTAAAACAAAAAAAATTAGAAAAAAATAGAGCCAAACCGGAATCTATTTTTGTTCTAAAATAACCAAACTGAACCGCAATCGGTTAGTTTGAACAGTTTTGGTTTTTTATAAAAACCCAGTGTGATTATTTTTTTTTAATAAAAATTAAACCGAATAAAAAATTATCACCTTTAATAAATATAAAAAAACATAAAGAGAGATGAAATTTGAGCTTTAAATTTGTTTAAATTTTTTCTATGAGATGTATAAATGTGTTTTTTTAGCTTCAATAAGATTTTGGATTGATTGATGAATTGATTTAAATATTATGAGTAATGAATTACTTAGTAAATTTTAAAATATTTTAGGTAAAGATTATGATTTGTTTAAATGATGAGTTTGAGTTAAGAATCTTAATATATTACTAAGTGATATGTAAAAATTCTAGGTTTGAGGTTGAAGATGATGAAATTCAGTTTGATCCTTTAATTTGTGAAAATTTTAGTTTAGTCTCCCGAACTTTGAAAAAATTATAGATTGATCCCTGAAGTATAATCGGAGATTCTGGACAGAATTAAAGATGAATTTCAATATAATTATGAACTTATGGAATTTTCAGTTTGGTCCTCTAATTTGATAAAATTATAATTTGACCCTAAAAATTTGATAAAATTCCATAATGGTCCCTAGAGCATAATTTGAGATTCTAAAAAGAACTGAAGATGAATTATAGTTAAAATTCCAGTGTAGTTATGAATTTATAAAATTTCAGTTTGGTCCTCAATTTAAAAAAAAATTACAATTTGACCCCTAAAATTTTGATAAAATCCAAAATGGTCCTTGGAGCATAATTAGAGATTTTGGACAGAATTGAGGATTCATTATGGGCAAAATTACAGTATATTCATAAATTTATGATATTTTTAGTTTGGTCCTCCAATTTAATAAAATTACAATATGATCCTAAAAATTTGATAAAATTCCAGAATGGTCCCTAAAGCATAATTTTAGATTCTGGACAGAACTGATGATGAATTATGGGCTAAATTCTAGTATAGCTATGAATTTATGGCATTTCAGTTTGGTCCTCCAATTTAACAAAATTACAATTTGAACCTTAAAAATTTGATAAGATTCTAGAATGGTCCTTGAAGCATAATTAGAGATTTTGGATAGAATTGAGAATAAATTATGGGCAAAATTCCAATATATTCACGAATATATGATATTTTTAGTTTGGTTCTTCAATTTAACAAAATTATAATTTGACCCCTAAAAATATAATAAAACTCCAAATTGATTTCTAGTTGTAATATTAGCTTTTTAAGATTGATTTAATGAATGATTGAGGGTTATGAATTATTATCAAATATTATTATTTGCTTTCTTATGAATTAGATTTAGAGAAAATTGTTTAATTTTTTGGGTTTTTTGAAAAAAATAACTAGTTTAGTTCAAAAATATATAGAGTTATAGAATAGACACTTAGTTAATTATATTAAATAGGTTGTATTTTTTTCAAGTTATTTTTTGAATATTTCTCATTTGTATTCAAATAATCATGATATTTTACCTACGAGACATCAATAGGATTTTCTTTGATATTTGTTTTCGAGTTCCGTTCCTTTTTAAGTCAGGTGAATAGATAATTCTTCAAATGCATGAGAAATAGTATAAATATTTGAATTGTTAATATGAATTAAATTGTACTTCTTAATAACACACACACACACACACACACACACATATATATATATATATTGATTATTATTCTTATTACGATAAAGTATAATTAATTATCGAATCTAAATTTTTTATATGAGTCAATGTATACTTTTGAATTGACTTCTAAATTAATAATTTCTTATTTGATTGATGTCACGGGTTAAGACTTGAGATATGAATTTATTTGTTTGATTATGATATGAACCTATGGTATGTTAGTATTAATAGGATAATATTAGTCTTTGTACACATTATATCTGAATCCTAGTTGGCTGGGAGAGTCACCAATCTATATGAATTGATCATCCCACAATACGAAACCTCATACTCATTACATTTTAATTTTCTGATGAACTTTATCTTATGATATTCTTATTATGGTTTATTTAAGAAACTTTCCAATAAAAATCTAGAGCCATAAATGTACATATATTCCTTATTAAATTGCCTCATTTATATATATTAAACGTTATCCACTTACTGAGTTATTGAACTCACCTTCTTATTATTTATCTTTTTCAGACTTATAACTTATTAGCGGCTTATTTTTGTTGGACCATTAGAATCTACTTTTTTATTGTAATTAATATTTTTTTATGTTTAGTTAGTGCTTCAACACTATAAAATTATATTAACTCTTATATTAAAATAATAAAATTATATTATGAAGTTAATTTTATTATATATAAATTGTTGAACATTAAGTTATTTAATTTATAAATTTATTTCCATATAAATATAGAATTTCAGAGAAAAATGTTATTCATATACCGAATATACATCTAAAAATAAGGTCGTAACAAAATTCAAGAGGAACAATAACCAATCTACATAATCCAACAGTACAGGTGAAATGACTAGCAAATAGCACACAACATGTAATGAATTGTTTGGCAGTTGAACTATCTTGGCTCCCGACGAGCACCGAAGAATCCAATTCCTCCATCAAAACACCGCTCTACGGATCCACATTTGTTCTTCCAAAATCACAACAAGAAAAGGAAAGGGAAAATCTTATGATTCCAAGAAGAAATCTACTGACCTGTTTGCCTTGGTTTGGCGAAGGAGAAGTTAGGAAAGCCCGAGTAAGGGCTACTTTGGGAATTGAAAGGACGGGAGAAAACAGAGAGACATAGGAGGGAAACTGGCTGCTTTGGAATTCGCATTCCTTGGACACAGTATTTATATAGACATGACGAGTTGAACTGAGTCGAGTCGAGTTGAAAGAAGAATCGAATAACAGAATGGCTAACAAAACTGTGCTTTGCAGTTTGTTACAGGCGGCAAGCAGGCTGTTGGAAATCGAATTTAATTTAATAACTGCTTGCCACGTGTTATCCTTCGCGTGCTGAGTCTCTCGCTTGTGTAAATGTTTCAGGCCTCGTCTATTGAGTTTTCGTCTTCCTCGACTGTATTAATATCGCTATCCATTCCGGTTTGTATCATATAATTAATTATATAGGGTTTGAAATAAATGATTATATAAGTTTTTAGTAATTTAAACTAGTAATTTATAAAAAGTAAATTTAAAATTTAATTAATTAAGCTATACTTCTCAAAATTTAAAAAAAAATTCTTGTATTTTCATCAATATATTTTTAAAGAATTTTATTTATTTAATAAAAATATTATTGTCTAATTGATACTATTTTTCATAAAAAGAATTAAAGATATGCATTTATAAAAATTAATTTTTTTTTACTATATAGATTTTAAACCAGGATTAAGGACGGGTCATTCAATCTAAGAGCTTATTTTAAGCCAGCTCATAAAAGAATTTCACTCCCATTTTAGGGTTTATTTTCCTTCTCTTTTAATCCTCGAAATGGTTTAAATGTTAACCTTAAAAGGGTAGAGGATTTGTATATAGATTTATTGAATTTTCAAAGTTTTTTCTCATTTTTATTTCATCTCAAGTTTAAATTGACCTCAAATATATATTATATAATATTCTTCATTTATAATTATATTTAATTTGATATATATTTGATTCCATTCAAATAAGTAAAGTAATGGAATTTGATACATTGCATTCTTATCTCTGAAATGCAGGAATTATATTCAAGAAATCTTCAATATAAAAGGCTGTATTTTAACTTTGGCAGGTTTGGGAACAACCTTGACTGGTTCTCATGGGAAGGGAACACTATTATAAGAGTATATGGTGGAAAAAGAACAAATGGAAAAGGATCATTTACAGCAGAAGTAAATGGTTGTTTAAAACTTATGTAATGATGTGTTTGATTATGTGTTCGTAGAGCAAGGACCCAGGCTGGGTTAAAAAACCAAAAAATGGCCCACAAAGGACCAGAACATGAGCAAGAAACACCAATGAAGGGGGAAGGCAAATTGCTACTCCCCTGAAGATATCTCCAAACACTCTGTTCATCTTTCTATTATCACGGCTGGAATAAATCAGTTTCGTTACGCATAGCTCCCTTTTATTTTGTTTGCTTTTTGCATCGGTTGTGGAGTTTACATACAGAGACAGGAAGATAAACCAATCATGCTTTCTGTTGGTTTGATAACCAGCATCGGCATTGATAGATATGGGTGATGAAAAAAATTCTGTTCAGAATTGTTTCCATTTGTTGAGAATTTAGTAGACTGACGGTTATCTGTTCTTCTGTGAACTTAGTGACAAAATCGCTGCCATGATGACCTAAGCTATAATGAAGGCCAATTATGAGCCTGTGATCAACATTTGTAAAGAACAAGTAGAAATTTCTGACTGTTTGTACCGGGATAGCCCCTTGTTTGCTGGGAATGTAGCTTGGTATGGGGATTGTCTCTATTGGGTTTCTTTCCCCTGTTAAAACCCATAATATGCAGTGGAATAGAAATTTAATCCTGAAATAAAGATCTGTGATGATTTCTTTTCCAGGGAATAAGAAATTGTATCCCAGTGTGTACTTTTGCATTCTTACTGAAGCAACATTCTTCAAATAACATACTTCAAATGCATTTTTGTATTCCGCAGGCAACACTAAAAGCAATGGTGGTTACACCTATAATTCCTACATCATGACCAGACTGTATCTATTGGTTACTTTGACTGGGCAAACCAGAAGCCTCTACCAAATATAAGCGACAGCATGGTGTTCCATCATCCGGGTGGGTTTGCACTGACCTGGGCAAGCTGCGAAGCTTGTTGAACAGATTCAAAGGGTCGTTCATGAGTCCAAAATGAGCATCAGGATCACCAAGCTGTGAAAGCTTTACGTGAGAGAATCCTAGAGATGGAAGTAGATGATCGGGCCAATCACTGTAGAAGTGGAAGATGGAATTTGACAGTGTGGTCGATGGTTTGTTCATGAAATCCGCCAAGAGCACTGTGCGGGCAAGTGCACATTTATCAGCTATGATACTTAGTACTTGCGTGGCGTGGGAATGGGAGAGGTAGTAGAGGATACCTTCTAGTACCCAGACTGTCTTCTTCTCTGGCACAAACCCTGATATCTGGAGCTTTTCAAGCCAGTCATTATTTCTAATGTCAGCTGCTACTCTGTTTAGGGATTTTGCTGTTATTCTTGGATGCAGGTGTTCATCTATTGTTTCCGTCGCGGCCTTTAGAAGAGTGGTTTTCACCTCTAAAACTTCAGGAAAATCAACCTCAAAGACGTCACTTTCCTTCAAGCAGCTTAGACGGTATGCCCTTGCATCCATTCCTAGAACATAACATGCTCAATATCATGATGAAACTACAGCATATAACAATAATGACTGCAACCGAACTTTGAATGATAAGTATACAGATATGCTTTACTGATATGCACTTATCACTGTCAATCTACTTCAGTATTAGGGCCAGCTTAAGACAGCGCACTGATTTGAAGAGGAAGCTTATATTTCTTATCCTTGCTGATCATGCATCATGCTTTCATATTCAATAATTGCTAAGCAAAATTGATATTGCAGTCTAATTCAGCATACACTACTTGCGGGATAGGATGTTAGAGGATTATATGCCTTACAAACTCTGGTTGGGTATGTGCAGAGTAAGAACAACGCAGGTAGGGACCAGTAGTCTTGTCACATGGAAGTGTAAATAATGAGCTTTGCATAGTATTGTGCACAACTGTGGCTGCAGACTATTTTAGACATCACTTCTTGAGAAAGAAGCAAGATTTACAGGATCATCATCTTAAGCCGCTGTTTATGTAAAATGGTCAAAGCATGTGAGAAATTGGGTTAAAGTGTTCACCAACCTGCGCCAAGGAGAACAACCTGTCCCTCGCCATTAAAGGAGCTCAGAGCAGCTTCAATTTTCGAATCAAACCAGAGTGTCCGAACTGCAAGAATCACCCCTGAAGTTTCCCGAGCATTTTTGAGGCGGTCATTCTTTATCTTCTCATGAAAGCTTTTGAGATATGTCTCTCCTGCTAGCAAGTCCGCAAAAGGGTCATGGATCACATGTTTCCACAGGGCTCTTCCAGCTGCTGTTTGGCATGCCGACCGTCGGAGAGAGTCCCACTCACTTTGGATTGTTGCGTGGAGTCCCTGAACTGTATCGGTATACAGCAAACGTGGGAGCTTGAGTTCTAGCCATTGCGGGTCCTCCTGCAAACCTTTTTCCTGGTCTGACATTTTACTTTTTTATGGAGAAACTTGAAGACTAATAGAAGAGGAGGAGAGACAGAGCGGGTGCAATATATAACAGAAGGGGTTTATATCATCAGGGTATTGTGGATAGGGATAAGAAAAGAGAGCCACACACTAACCAACGCTTGAGAATAGAGCTCGATCGTATCCAGGTTCTCTACCGCGATAAAAAGGAAGGCAAAAAAAAATGTAGTCCACCATTTCTTATGCATGGCCCTTCCCTTTCTGCTGTCCCTATCTCGTCGAAAAACAGAAGCAATGAATATGGTCTGCTCTCGCCAGCAAAGATCTATTACCTGACGTGAGTGGCTCTCAACTTTCTACTTGGGTCCTATTCCATTGCCCTAACAAGTACTTGCTGCTTGTCTTTTGATCACATGTTGCAAGCGTGAAAGGGCCAATCCAATTCCACGAGTGTCACAAAACAACTGGTGGAATGGAAGAAAGGTTCCTGTTAAGGATCACTTTTGCAATTGAATGGTTCTAAAGGAGACAAGGAGCCGTTTTGAAGCTCTTGAGCAAGAAAAGGATTGGGTAGAACATCCCTCTTTTGCACGTTTAGTTCCCACGCGTTCTACCCTTTTGGACCAAATTCATTTTTCACGTTTTTCAAGACACAAGGCTTCTTCTTCTTCTTTTTTCCCTCAAGTTTTTATCCTTGATTTTAAAAACCATAAATTTAAAAGTTTTTGTTTAGTAAAATATAAACTATAGTTTTTGCATAGGTTTTATTTGGTTAAATACAAATTTTAACGTTAGATTTTTGGTTATCTTTACTAACTCAACTAGAATTACGTATAGACCATTAAATTATTGATATTTTTTTATTTTAGATAATTTTTAAAAACATATATTTTGGTTTCCACAGTTTTTAACTAATAATTTGTTGATCTTTAACGCATGCAATTATGTCACCTTCCTTTTTATTAAAGAAACAGGTTTTGATTCTATGATCAAATCTTAGAACACAACATTCATGCACAAGATTTGTATTTCCGTAACCCCATCTTAAGTTTGAACTCAAAGTAGAAAGGAGACGTAGTTATCTCCCAACTACATCCAACGATCAATGTAGTTAATTAATAGATAGTCTATCAAAAGAAACTAGCTTTAGGACATGGAGAATATGTTTCTTGTTAGGACATAAAGGATAGTACGTGCGGCCGTGTGATCGAAGAAAGAAAGAGAGGAGGCCGTGTGAGACAAACCAACCTTGCCTGCCTGCAAAATTCACTTATCAGTTCCCACCCTCTGATGAAGGACCAAGCAAGAAGACACTGTAAGCATGAGAAAGAGAAAGATGGCTTCTGAAATAGGATGCTGTAGTAGCAAGTTCATGTCATATGTGGTGATAATAATAATAGAATTGGTGGCTTTAATTTGGTGGCCTCTTGGCTGGCTTAACTCTTGCTCTCATGTCCCTGGGCCTTGTCGACCTTCAAGTCCCCATCAAGTTTGGCCTTCCTCAAGATCACATCCACGCCGGTACTCTCCCTCGTATTAGTGTTTGGAGAGGTAGATTATGATTAAAGCGTTCACCTTTTTTTATATGTTCTTAGTTTAGAAGTTGTCTGCTTGGCAATTTCAGAATGGATTCAATCTGGGTTCTTATGCTTATGGTTGTTTGATACAGATATTGCCACAAGCAGTTTGTACTCGTTATGGCTTCACTGTTGGAGCAGCAATGGCTCCTCTTGTCCGTGTTCTTCTTTTGCTGTTCTTTCCAATATCTTATCCAGTTAGTAAGGTACGGTAGATTCCTGATTCTGAGTACACGATTAGGACAAGTTTTCTTGCGAGTGAGCTTTATTCTGTGCAGGTTGATTTGGCTACTGACCATTTGGCATGGATATGAGGAACCAAATATTACCAGTGTTGGCTGTATTCAAAGCAAGAATTTCTGTCTAGAATTTTAAAACTAATATAAGGTGCTGCTGAAATCATAAAATAAAATGGCCCCAGACAGCATTTGAGCCGTAGATAAATAAAATGTAAAACCAAGCAAATGAATTGTTTGCTGGTTGAATTCATCTGTTGGGGGGGGGGGGGGCGT